AACTGACAATATTAAATTGCAACAGTTATGCATTCTGTCACGTGTCAAAAATTTTCCCTTAGTACATTCGGTATAATATTACAGGTGTGGAAGTCGGAGAGTCAACCACCACGAAGAGTCTCGATGCACGAAGCAATTGAGCGAATTTATGGCCACCTTGTATTAGTACTCTCACATACGCCATATATGAGCTGTACTTGTACGCGGAGTGACTAAACATACGAAATCGCGCTTCGTGCCTGGAAATTCTCAGATTCTCAATGGACAGGTCGTAAATCAACGAGACATAACGCGAAGGAACGCAGCGCAACCAACGCGACGCAACGATGCGTTTCATTATACTAGCATTAGCCACTGTTAGTATGCGCTTTTGCACGGACACACGTGTACGCTGAATTAATATATTGCATGTATGTATGTGTACGTGCGGGGAAGGGGAAGGGGAATGCACAGTGCAACCGTAATACATACTTAATTACCGTGAGCATGTCCGATAATCTGGAAGATTAGCGTGGCACGGAGGGGCTTGTTCTCGACTTTACGGCGAGCGCGCACTCGCTGATTATGTAAAATGGCTAACGGTTAATATCAATATCTTGGGAGATAAAACAACTTCTTTCTCTTTCGTTTTTTTTTTTTGAAGTGGCACAATATCTGTCGAACAGCGAGACCTAAAAAGACAAATATACGACAGAAAGGTCAAGAGGATTTGGGGAAATAGAGGGACAAAGTGAATGAGTAAGTGCCACGCGTACTGTGGCAATCACAAATGCACAGAGCCGACTAATCTGTTTGTTTGTCGAACTACTTTCCTGCCGTAGCAATGGTCTTTCATTTCGTCTCTCGCAATGAGCGACTTTGGTAATCTTTGCTTAATCTTAAGCTCTCTAATCCTTTGTAATTTTCTAATAGTTGGAGCAAAAAAATCCTTCCGAAACGCAATGAATCATGCGCTGGAAACGCACACATAATTTAGAGCGCAGAAAAGATTTTCGGTAATTCTCAGTTGACTACATAAAATGACTATCATTTAAAGTAAAAAACCGAACAACTCATAGATTGAAAAAAAAGAAGAAACAAAACTATTTTGAGTTAAATACTAGAGTCCACATTATTTGGAAAGAAAATTTGTATTATTTCTCTTATTTTCAAATCATGATCCAACGATTTAATTATTGATAAATCTCACTATAATTTACAAAAGAGAACTTGATAAAAAATTGATCGAAAAATGATCTACGTATTATTCTGCAAATATTAGTTTAGGCAAGTCGGTTCTACCATGTGTTTTATCATGTACGAAAATAGAATTATGTACAAAGAGTCAGCCAACCATAATAAAACGTAATATCACAGTTTATATATATATTATCTATTCAGTCAGGTTATTTTCATGCAGTCGATTCGGCGCGATAGTCATATTTTCACCGGTCCTGCTCGCATCATCACGCATTCCGTTCGCAATTACGCGATAAATAGTCTATAAAGTACGCGTTCGCGTAAAACGCGTAATAACGCCGTGTCGAATAGCCGGTCGTCGCGCATTAATGGCTACGTGTAGCAGCATTAGCGACTACATTAATCGATAACGCCAGTCGCAGTTTTAAATTGTAACCCTCATGCGGTCGACGTAGTTCGCTATCAGCGGCAGGATATCCCGTAATTTCACCGGCGATAGGAATTTCTCGTGCACACGCACATTGTTAAATATTCTGACGTACAACTATAGATAAAAGTAGAAATAAATATTTTTTCACAGTTCGTGTAACCCGTTATAACTTTCTACAAATTTAAAATTCAATTTGTGTACGATTTTGTCGGGAAGAAATTTTGTCGGATGATATATAATTGGTGTTATTAACAGCTGCTCGTATATTTGTGCGATTTCACGCATGCCATCTGGATGCACGGTTATTTCAAGTGTTGCTGAAATAATTGTGCCTCCACATAACGCTCAAAATATGTAAGTATTTAAATATCTATCTAAAGATATTCTTGTAATCTGTGTATTATCAGTGCTAATAATAATAATATGAAAATAATTACGTTGTACAGTAGTTTTCTTACGTTCTTTTAGATCGGATTTAGTAAACTCATTCTATGACGCGCAAATACACGGATTACAAGCAATAAAAAGTAACGAATGGCATTTAAAATGTGCAAAAGCACAAAGTAATGTTACCGTTTCGAAGTTAATCGCGGCAGGAATGTATTATTCCTCGGCAATTCTCTGCGCGGGAGAATGTGTCGCGTCGGCTCGCGTTTATAACCGGCCGACCGGGCCGGACTAGCTCGTAAAGAAAAGCCGAGGTGGAACATTACGCGCCGCGCACATATCGTCGGTGCGTATCTCGTTGCACGCGTATCAGATTGGCCGCAGAGGACCGAGGTGCGCGCGTGAATACGATTTCTGGGTGTTAAAAGGAAAAAGACATCGCTGATATATCCGACGATGTTACTCCGATATGTCATGTATATTTATGCGTGACTCCTGATATCTGCATATTGTACGCACGTATATTTTAGAAAAATTACGAAATATGAATATGATGACGATTAATCATATATTTGATAATAGAAGAGAAAATGACTACGTACATCAAGATATTATTTCACATTTTAATAAGCTGATTAAAATTGATGGATAAGATCATTAATTAAATACCTGAGGCAAGCTTTTTGAATGTTCAGAAAATGTTCTACGTGACAGCTAATTATATGGTAACTATTTATTTGACATCAAAATAATTTCACGTGGATTTTGCTTTGATAAAATTAAAATTCAAAGATTAGTTAAAAAGATATCAGCTAAGAGAGATTAAAATAAACAATTAAGATAAAAAGATTGATCAAGTTTCATAAAGAAAACAATCTAATCAAAAAACCAGTAGTTTTAGGATATTTTTTATGATATTAAAATATCAAAACTATAAATGAAAAGAGTTTAGAAGCAAAATGTTCATATCTTCCATTTTACTAAGATTTATGATAAAAAACTGAAAATATCTAATACGTCCAAATTCTTCTAATAAATTGTTTGGATGTTTCAATTTATAGATTAAGTTGGAAATGTTACTTGCTTGTTTTGCTTTTACATGCATGACAAAGTACAATATAAAATCCTCACTCCTCCGTACTCCTCATTCAATACAAAAGGAAATGGAGAACGAGAGTTTGCTTCTATTTCAAGTAAAGTTTACGTTGTAGAAGTTTATTCGAGAAAGCCTATTTTCCTATTCTTGATATTCAAGTCTCAAATTGCGTCAAGTATCGCTCCCACGCAACCGACACGCGTGAATAATCTTCTCTACGCGCCGTGTTTCGTTCACGCCGTGTTTCGTCGACGCGAATGCGAGCGAGCGAAACGCAAGCTCCGCCTTGAATGAGTTCTTATCATCGCCTCGAGCGAGACTCGTGCCTGAATGCAAGCGCGTTTCGCGCGACAAATATTCTCGCCGATAGAGCAGCTTGATGTAACGCGATTTTTCATTATTCATTGTTTTTTCACGTTACTGCGCAAAGTACTTTTTATTAGAAAAATTTCAACTTTATTATTCTACGCATATTTTTCCATTCACTACATTTCCATTCGAGTTATCATTGATGTCGATATCAAAGGTGAAGTACTGATGCTAGAAATACTCGAACTTTGCAACAGAAAATCAAACAGCACGCGGTGTATGTAGGAAATTTATTCGCGTCTCGAATAGATATCGCGAATAACCATATACATACTATCCAAGCTAGATGCAAGCAAGCATATCGATACCTCGTGAGTATCGATCATTGTATTTTTACGTTTATTCTTCGTTTCTTACATTGTATTCTTATACTCGATTTTTCTATACGTTTGGATATGCGAAAACAAGAACTCTTACGGCGTATCGACGCTCGGTTTCCAATATACGAAATATGTGCGCGCGTGATGCGTGCCTGCGGCAGGCGTGACTGTCGTGTTCGCGTTTGCTGCGAGAGACACATGCGGCCGGTGGTCGTCCGCACACACATACACACACATTGCGTGTGTAGATGGTCACGGTAGACCAGCACTCTCACGCGATACCAGGACTTCGCGGAGAATCGAGTTTGTTGAAATAACCTTTTCACGAGAGCACGGCGCTCGCGCAACACAAACTGTTATTCGGACAGGAATCCGAGAGCCCGCAATGGTTAATTGCAGTTTTTAAGCAATACGTGTAAACGTGTAAACTTTTCATCTACCTACGATCGCGCTTGTTTGCTCGATTTATAGAAGAATTAATGCGATTAAATACTTGAGATAATCGTAGCTGTGTGTACATTTATGTAGTGACTCGCGGTTAAAATTATTCATGAAAGTTGCGTAAAAAGATTATAAATTATAAATCGATAAATATCCAATAAATAATTCTTAATTTGATACACGTTGCTCTTTGTGAAAAAATATGCCGCGTTCTTATTATCAATAGCTTTGTATATTCAAATTCGCACAAATTTGGAGTTTGTTTATCAATTAATCTTTATCAATCTATTCCTGTATATATGTCAAAGGTAATAACATTTTAATATTATTATCACCTTAAACTTGTACGGAAACAAATCCGCACAAATTTACGAAGCAAAAAAAAATCAACAATTCTCGACATTTCGTCGAATATATCACATAGATAACGTTGATACTTTCTATCTCTTTTAGGCTTAGCTAATAATCAATATGTCAATATCAAAACTACTCAAGCGATGAAAGCAACGTATCGATGCTTTCACAATATCGGAGCATCAAAAGTCGCTTCTATAGGTATGTATAGCGTGCCTTCTGTGTGCTAATCTCCATATTTATATAAATAAAAACCCTTATTCCTTATTTAATTTCAAGTAAAATCAAACGAAATATAACCATTAAACGTTTTCAAAGAAAATTAAGATGCATATAAAAATTGCATTTTGTCAAATAAAGCTGCATATAGAGTCTTTTAGTCATTTAAGTAGAAGAAGAAAGATAGAGAGGGAGGTTCACTCACCATTGTATGCGCGTGGGTCGGCGAGAGCAGGCGTACACACATACACACTCGAGCGATGACCGGCGGAGCGCCTCTCTCTTCCGCAGGCTTCGTATACTTCTCTCGATATATCCTTGCTGACACGTATCCCGGTATATTTCCTCTTGTCGCATATAATCCAACCGTCTGTCACCGCTGCCGCCACTGCTGGCTTGCGTTCGTCGCTGCTCGCCGCGAGCTTCACCTCGCGACCCTGTTCTCACGCACGTACACACATATACACTGAGATTCGCCGAAGCACTGCCGCCGCCGCCGCCGCCGTTGCGAAGGAACTCGTCCCGGACTCGTTGTTCTCGCACCGCAACGCGCGAGATACACCCCGATCGAACGCGACCGCGAAGCAATCGCAACCGTTGCAATACCGTTGATATTTACACACTATAACTCCGATTTTCCTGCCATTTCCACGCGCGACAATCTTCTATCACTCTTTCGCGTAGATGGTTCCTGTAGCACCTTTCTTCTCGCCGCTCTCCTCCTCTCTCTCTCTCTCTCGCTCTGTCCTTCTCCTTCCGTTCTCACCCGTACGTGTATACGTTGTACGAGCGGTATACAACACTTCTTCGCCACCGCTGCCGCCGCCGTTACGCCTGGTAAACACGTATATGATGCGCGCAGAAAGACGGACAGCGAATGAAAACGAGCACTAGCGACAAGACGTGACGCGATGCAACGATTCGAAACGAAACTATCGCGCGCGATGTTTTTCCGCGACTCTTTCGAGTGCGACCTGACGTTGGCTCGTTCCGGCCAATTCACGAACGTCACGCACACACACGTACACACAAACACGCCCGTATCATGTCTCTAGCCCGGCAAGCACACCTACAGCGCGCGATCACTCTTATCTCTTTCTCTCCATCCTTCTATCTCTGTCTGTATCGCGTTTTACGTTCGCTCTCTCGATCGCATGGACGGGTCGGTCGCCCGGGCTGCGCTCTCTCTCTCCCCCCTCTCTCTCTTGCTCTTTCTATATCCTCTCTCCCTTGCTCTTCGTTAAACAGACACTACTATTAACCTGTGCTTGCCGCCTGCTTCCACCTTGTACTCTCCGCCGTATCGCACTCACACGCGAAAAAAGATGTCGAAGTGTACACTGAACATAGCCGCTGAACGGCCAAACAGTCGCGCGAACGGAGCGGGTGCTCCTTCTTGCCGTAGCTGCCGCCGTCGCCGCGAAAGAGAAGTACGCACACGAATGCACTGTCACGCACACACGTATGTATTTCCTTCGTTTCGTCGTTCGTTCGCTCGCTCGGTCGGTCGTTCTCCTCTTGCGCGGCCGTACGCGAGAACGGGACACACCCGGGTGGTTTTCGTCTTCGGTGCCGCCCGACAACGATGGGCGGACGACGCACGAACGGTGTCTGATGACCGGTTTGCGCCGCGACGCCTCGTCTCGGCGTGGACACGCGGAGGCTGCGAATTTCGCGAGACACGCGCGAGACAGACGGGAAAAAAGACTCACAGAGGAACACCGTGCCTCCCTTCTTGCCACAAAGCACTCACGGCGAACCGCAACACATGGCTACGACGAGACCTCTGCCGTGATCGGAACTGTTCGTTCGCAGTCGTTCACGCTCGCTGCCGAGCCAGGGCCGTCGGCGCGCGTTTACAGCGCCATGTAATTATTCTGCAAATTGGCGCGAAATGTGGATTCCGCAGTTGAATCGATCTTGAGTTGCATCTGAAAATATATACAAGATGTGAGGAAACAATATTTGTATCGCTTGGGTAACGAAAGGCACAATTTTCACTTTTATATATATATAATAGCGTCGAGTATCTAAAGATTCGATTATAATTCGATGCTATAAATCTCACAAAGATGTAATTTATATTACAGTTGTCAATTTGCGGGTTAAATAATGTCTTAATTGTATGTAATTTAAATATTTTAATTTTAATAAATATGTAAATTGCTAACTTTCTAAAAAGAAACTTATTTGGATAATGTATTTAAATTAATATGATAAAAAAGTATGAGAGAGAGTACTCAGCTATAATTAAACGTACGCTAAATTATTCGCTAAATTATTATAATGGTTCTTTTAAAGATTATTGTTGCCTATAGAATACATGCAGTTAATAACATTAATAAAGACATACCATTTGTTATATTAAAAAGATAAACCTTAATAACGAATAATATGCGTTACACAAACATGAATCAACATTCACGGATATATGCAGCAATAATAAAAATGTGGAAGAGTTGTAATAAACATTAGTCAACTTTATAATTAAAAATTTTATTATCTTATTAATTATAATTATTTTTTATTATATATGTTATTTATTATTCAGTAGTATAAACATTCTTTTTTGTGTATTTTTATCATTTGATGTGATGTCATTTTATCATTATATGCAAAATAATTTCAAGTATTTCTTATCATTTGGCTAAATAAAATACATGTTAATGAATCTCACAAAGTATTATATTTTGCCATTAATTAAGGCAAAATGTGGTATATTAAAAGATTGCAATTATAAGATAAAAATTGCAAGGACAATCTTACGATTTTCATCTTACAATTTTTTCATAACTACCATATGGTACAAATGATCCGCGTGAAACAGCCTCTTCGCGAATCGAAACACAGAAGGAAACAGACGCACAAACGAAAAGGAATTTGATGGGACAGAAAACCAGGGGAGTCTGGGTGTCAATTTCCGGCGTTGGCTGTTAGCTAAGGGGAGGACAGGCGTTTCGCACAGGCGTCCTTCGTCGTCGTCTTTCCGCGAAGGCCGCAAGCGTATCCGCAGAGACCCGGCCTAGAGGAGAAAGGAAACCGAAGGAGCTTGAAGGACCACGGCGAACGAAGCACGAAGGCAAGAAAGAGCCTGAAGAAGCACTCCTTCACAGCATAGCGGACTCTTCATGACGAAACAAAGACGAGTTTTCTCGCTTGCTCCTTCGACTCAGTATCTTGCTCGGTCTCTCTTTCCCACTTCGACTCTATCCTCGTTTAGGTCACTTTTCTCTCTCTCTCTCTCTCTCTCTCTCTCTCTCTCTCTCTCTCTCTCTCTCTACTCTCTCTCTCTCTCTCTCTCTCTCTCTCTCTCTACTCTCTCTCTCTCTCTCTCTCTCTCTCTCTCTCTCTCTCTCTCTCTCTCTTCTCTCTACTTACTCTTAAATTACCCGTCCGTCTCGCTCCGAAATATTCAACTCTTTAGTACCGACCCTAATACTTCCTTTAAACTCTTCTCCTTCTCTTTCTCTTTCTTTCGTCTCCCTCCTGGTTCAACCTCTCTCCAGTTCTTCTTTCTCAATCTCTCTTTATCTTTCTCTTTTGATCTCTCATATTCTATCTCTTGGCTTTCTTCGATCTCTCTTCTTCTCTTTATGAGGTTCTATCAGCATCCTTATCGTTTCGACGCGAACCCGTCCGCTCGATCTTTCACTCTCGACATCGACATCAGAGAGAAAGAGACAAGGAGAAAAAGAGAGAAAGATAAAAGGAAAGAGAAAGAGGTGAGAGAGGATCATCGGTGACAAACAACGCCGGACCCAAGAGAGCGAACAAGGGGACGGCAATTAGGAGAGATTCGTTTTAACTTTTCCCTCTCGTCGTCATCATCGTCGTCGTCGACAGTGGCGGCGAACACCGAGCGCGTGATGATCACCGTGTAACCGGAAGCGGCGATCGAAAGCTCGTTAAGTTCTTTCTCCCTTCGTCTTTCTCGATGCCCCTCTGCATCAGAGAGAATGGTAATACCTTCGGTGACATCAGTTTCTGCGATTGTTCTCGATAAGAATATCGATATCATACTATATTACGATTTGCTTTAGTGAGTCTTTCAGTCGACTCTTAGTTCTCAATTTTAGATAAAATTTTCGGTTGTCACAAATAACGCAGTATTTTGTATAAATTTTCTAAATTTTACACTATTTATGAAATTATTAACCTCATAAGTTGAAAAAGATATAACTATAATTTATATAAGTTATAAAAAAAATTCAAAATTATCTTTTGATTTTAAATAATGTTTAGAAGGTAAATAATAATAATAATAATAATAAAATCTACGAATTATTTAAAGAATTTTTTTTTAACCGAATTATTTCTAGATATTGAACGAATGAATTGAAAATTAATGATTATTTTCTATATTTAATTACATGTATAATTAAGTAATATTGTCAGTAACGTGTTCATTATCCGGTTAAAGGAAATGTTATACTTAGATAATGGGGTTATACTTAGATAATACGGTAAAATATCAAACAGTGCTATCTAGTATTGTCACGTGAAATCCGATCAGTCTTACGTGCTAATTTAAACGTTATTTTATCTTTCTCGATTAGATAGCCTTCGCGGTAGTAACTGCTGCGCTGTATATAATTCGAGCGTGTCCTGTTCATCTTAAAGCTTGTTTTGCTACAAATTCCTCTTTACGCGAGACGGAGGAATCCGACTTCATACATTTGATCCTGCAAATATATGCTCGAATCGGACAGACTTCAGCATTTTCTCAGTTCACCAGAGTCGTCGTATAACGTAAAATATCGCTCGCTTGTCTTTTCGTAACATTTTCAACATATTTGTTTGCATTTGTACGCATGACAAGCAATATCCTATATTCATTACCAATGAAAATTCTTACAATAAAAATTACTCGCGACATAGTGCAACAAAATATTCTATTCAAAACATTTACTTTAAATTTTATATACCCATTAAAGATACGAATTATGCAAAGAAATTGCATTCAAAGATGCATGAAGAAATGCATCTGACCTTTCGATGTTATTGTGCAATATTAATAATCTTTTTGAGTACAACTGCAAACTTTATGCGTTTCTAGAAATGTCTGATCCGATTATCAAGAAATCGCCGATTTCGTGAATAAAGTGAATGTAGGAGGAGTCTAATATACGATACAGAGAATACATTGAGAGGCGGCTAACGCAGCTTATAAGGTTGAAGCTGGGTTTCCGTGTCAGTTTTGACGTGAGACTGTTAGAAAGGCACGCATTTCTAAAGCCATTATTAATGGACAACGAAGTGGGATGAGAGAAGCGCGTTTACCCTACGAGTCTACTCTTCGCGTAGTTCATTTCGGAGGCTGCCAGCCGTCAAGGAGAAAAAAGGAAGCCAACGAACATATGCGCGATAAAGAGCGGAACAAAGAGAGTGTCGGCAGATATACCACGACAGGACGAATGTACCGGGGGGCATTACGAGGGTGCAAGTCGTGAAAACAGCCAGAGAGAATCCTGCTATTGACTGATATAATTAACTACCTAGATATTAAATTTAAACTCAGCACTCAAATGCAATAATTTTTTTTGCTAAATATAAAATCCAGAGAAACCAAATATTTTAAGCGTGAGAGAGAATTTTTATCAAAATATCTTTTTTTTTCTTTAACAAAAGTTACTATATATATATAAAAAATACCTTCCAAAAATTTGTAAAATATTCTTAAACTTGGTAAACTACTACGGAAAATTGATTTTATAATTTAATGAAATATATTTTTACTTTATTTATATTTCTTTTATTACATATTTTTCCTTAAAGAAATTTGATTCAATGTGCCGAAGAACACCAGTTTGCATTTAAAATCTAAACCTCTAAGCTTATTGAAAATTCGTTGAGTCATTCTTAACGGGGGGAAACGGATAACACGGAAACTTAATCTTATTTATGTAGATCAGTCGAGAGAGACGAGCGCGTATAGTTGTGTTCACGGTGAGTATGTGTATGCGAATGAAGTCAAATAGAATGGCTAATGGGTGTGTATACAATGAAACGTACGGTCCATGCGAATCAGTGTCGCCGCGGGATTTCGCACCACTCTGAGTACGGTGTAACCGTGTTTTCATGGGGTCGTACGAGAAAGAGAGAGAAAGAGAAATGAGGGATACGGTAGGCCAACTTCCTCATACAGCCCCACGGCAATGCCGTTGCCGATCCCATGAAAGCACGCGCTCTCATTTAATAAGCACACACGTACATACGACGTATCGGGCCAATAAGGCGAGCCGCCGCGGGGTCAGATCGATGGAGTAATCACTGAAAGTGGCAGTGTTTTCCTGCGGGAATTGGCCGCGGGCGGTCGGGGCATGATCATTTCTGCAAATAAGCGTGAAATTCTCGATTTGCTTCCGTACTGTCGTACGGTAGGCAGGGATGCGCGCTGACTGCATACCGCCACGGTAACTTCCCTTCTGTGCGAGCGCGAATCACACATCCTGTATTCTAGTACGAAATGCACGATACGTTGCATCAATGGCTCACTCGATGCATCCGCTGTACGGAGAGCTCTATGAAGTGGAAACGGTCTGTATCTATATATTTTCAGATTATTGGAAAACATCACAAAAACGATAACAGATACATATTTATTCGTAGAACTTCGTAACAGATCTCACATATCGAATGTGATGAATAAGAGCAGCAGAAAAAAAACGTACGAGTGTAAGTGAGAAAAGTAGCGTATTAGACGAAGATGGATAAAATTGGCGATGGTGATTTTATGTGATGGACGAAAATATGTTTCTCTCCTATAGAATTTTGAAAGAATCAAGATGAAAAAAAGACCCAGGAAGAATGCAGGAAATGTGAGTTAAAGAAAGACGAATCATAAATATACGTATATCGTTCCGTCTCGAAAGAAAGAGAATCCGAGAGAGAGAAGCGATAGACACAGACACAGAAAATGTACTAACACCTA